CTTACCCAATTGTCGTGAGCCTCATTGCATAAATGGTGATCGGTAAAAGCCAACACATCAGAAACCATAAGTTAGAAAGTGTAGGGGCATTAAATCATCATTAGGCACTGAAGGGTTCTGCTTCTGTTGGGCAGATGCTCCTTACCTGGCATCTGAAGTTGTACTCTGCGTTCTATTGCTTCTCCTGTAATTCTTGAATTCTTTTCCTATGGGTTGGAATTGTTTTCATCAGATAAGCACCAGATTGAGTATGATTATAAATCATATGTCTTGTTCCCATTATCCCCACAACTGTACCCTTACACAATTTATGCAAACATATAAAACATATTATATATGATTATAAAAATACAGTAAGACCAAAACTGTTGCTATATTGTTTCCTTGTCTTTTGTTTAATGACTGCTGGGTTCTAAGTTGACACAATTTCCTGCCCCTTCTCAGTATTCCCCAAACTGATCCTCCCTTAAGTACATAAAGCTATAGTCTCTTTATCATATCACAGGGCAGAGAAAACTGGGCTTATGAAATGTTACAATCCTTTTTATGGATGTGATTCCTCCTATGCCAAAATGCTTTCCAAATGACACTGGCTGTTTACACCATTCCTTGAAAGGTTTGTGTGAATCCAAGTTCCACACAGCCTGGCCAATATTGGGGATCTGGAAATGTTTAATTACTTAATCCTTTTTGGTCACCAATAAAACTGAAGGAACTCTTTCTGGTGTACATCCTAGATCTGTGTCTTCTGACCATTTATTTATACCTTTGTGCTAATTAGATCAAATAATTGTACAAAGCTTAAAAACAACAGTATCCAAAAGGGGTTTCCCAAGAGACTTGTGTTCAGTGTGTGACCTCCCCTGTAGGTAGGATTTCTTTTTCAACAAGCTTCAGTCTCCCTTTTTGCCTGCTCATGTTCATTCATTTTTGTTTCCTGAAATGACAAAGAATTGCACGTTGTCCAGTACCCTATTGGAATTCTGCCTTTCTTCCCTCCAGTGTCTGAATATTATGATTCAAAGGGCCCCGGGTTATTTTCCCATATATGGACAATCTGACAATTACATCAAAGGAAAAAGTGGAGTGTCCCATAGAGGGACCAAACAAATCCAACTCTGGTCTGCTGGCATGTCCTTTGAAATTCTGAGCTCTCTTCATACCTCTACACATGTATTAGTATTTATTATTTAGTAAATTAATAAAGGAATATACAAAGCACTGATTAGATGCACTGTGTTCTGGGATCAGATTTGTCCTTGAGATGGTGAAAGCTCATGTATTTCTTGGTGGAAACCTATCATGACTAATTCTTGAGGAATAAATCCCTCAGGATAGAGAAGGGCATCATTGCTTCTCTGATTCCTCCCATGTAGAAACCTGATCCTCAGTCAAAGAAGGGCTGGTGCCAAGACCCAGACAATCTGCCTTAGAAGGAAAGATCATACTGGGACATACTGTTAACCCTGCTGGTCACTCCTGGCCATTTCTTTAATTCAGGAATGGAACACTGGTCATCTACTTTAAAGGTCCTGGTTGAGGAAAAGATTCAATCTTAGTGCCTGTCACAACTTGAGTAAACAAGATCTGAATGGCTCCCTAGTCTGGGGTTATCACTCGGAATCAGATTACAGCTGGAAAAACATCCACCTCGGTATTCTTCTACTTTTAGAAGGATGAGTTCACAGACAGTGGAGGAAGGAAAGGGCAAAGACCTAAGAAGTTAATTTGCTGTGTTGCCCTCAAAACACTTTATTCAGTATTCTGACTAATTAGATCTCACTAGATACCTGATTTAATATGGATGACATGGAAAGTTGAAAGAACTCAAGGAAACGCATAAATACACTTAACAGGGGAAAGTTCCTGACCACACATGCAATCCATCAGCAAATGCTTTCTAGAGTGACCTAATGCATTGGGTGTGTTGTGAAGTGGTGACTTTAAAGGGGAGCAGGGACATCCCCATCCTAAAGTTGCTCACCATTCAAGGTAAACAAGAAGACAGTAAGGACATAGCTATCTCTGTCATGGACATAAGAAGTAACCCAAAACTTGAGTCTTGAGAGAAGCAAAGGGAAAGTTCTGTTTCTGAAGACCCTGATCTTCCAGAGAGCAATCAAAAACACTGGACATAATTTAAAATGCATGATTGAATGCATTCAATTGCTAGCAACCTAAAAGAAGCATGAGGCCAAGTTAGAGAAGAAGGAAACTGAGGACCAAGGTCAGCTGGAATTTGAAGCCTGTGTCCACGAATTTCATCACTAAATTCCAAAAGAGATTACAGAGATACAAGTGATCTGAGAGGATTTTACACAAATTTAGTGGCTTCAAAGAAAATGCATGTAGTTCATGGTCTGTTAAAGAAGTTTCCCCTATTGTAGTCCCTGGTGTGGGTTGGGACCCAGAAGTTATACTCTATGAAAAAAGGCAGACAAAAAAAATTGCACTGGCTTTTCCAGGGATGAACACTGCAGCGAGTGAGTCAATTGCTGCTTGGATTACGTGTATGGTCAGAGTACACTTCCATCTTTTCTGTAGCAAGATAGCATCATATGAGGTCACAATTTTTCTCTAAATATTTTTCCTGGTATCTAGCTTTTAATAAAAATATGGCAGTCCAGTACCATGTGATAGGATTAAAACCTAAAAGACTGTGAAAATGTACCCAGGAGTGATCCAGATATTGAAGTTAACAATACTGGAACCAGTACCTCCTCTTTCTCCAAGTAAAAGACAAATAAAAATATATGAATGGAGGAAAAATTGCAGATTACAGAATTCAAGGCAGGAGGGAAAGCACAATTCTTTGCCACATGACTGGGCCACAAATATTGTAGAAACAATTTTAAAGAAAATCCCAAGTGTCTTC